ACTCCAGTTTTGCTTGGACAGTTCTGGTGCCCCAGTGGGCGTCCCCCACACTTTTACTTTATACATTTGTCTTAGCATTTCTGCAAGATAGATTCCTAAAAATCAGTCTGACAGTCAAGAGCTATGCTCATTTGAACCACCCTCCCAAAGCACCCTGGCCCCTTCTCTGAGAGTCTCTGCAAAGCCTTACTGCTGGACTCCGCTTATCCTCTGCGTCCAGCACAGGTATGTCCATCATGTCGCCAACTGGTTCGGCCTGGGTACCACTGTAAGCCTCCACCGGAGGTCTCAGAATGTACACCAGGTCTTCCCAGTGTGCAAACAGGTCTTCTTTTGTATCTGAAGGGGTGCACAGTTGTAGGTAAAAAGAGCGACCAGTGACAAACTTCAAGTGGATTTGTTGTTTCTCATAATTATAGATGGATAGCTTTACAAAGCTCAAAGGAAGCAGCCTGTGAGGAGCAAAGGAGTGCGGGGGTTAGGTGGGGATAAAGAGGAAGGAAGTGAGTCTCTTGGTCCAGCCAGAGTCCACTCCCTCTGTTAGAGGATTTACCGAATCCTGTCCGTTTGACCTCAGCTCTCATCTCCACCTCCCCATCACCGACAGGTGCAGCCCTAATTCTGAGAACATCACTGTGATGTCGTCATGTCTCAGTCCAACACCTGTATGGCTCCTACCAAAACCAGCAAGTGTTAAACCCTCACTTACTCTGCCATGCAAGATCCTCCCACTCACCGTATGTCCCCAGCTTGCTTTCTTGTCTTATTCCCACAACGCTCCTTACCTGGTCAATGGCCACTTTCCCCGTAAAGTCTTGGTGAACCCCTGTGGCTGCTTCTGGTCTCTTCTCCTCTGAATTCACACCACAGGTGCTAGTCATGCTGCTGAGACCCCTCTGTCACTGTGGGTTCTATGTTATGGTGAATTATGTACCTTGTGGTCTTATCCCCTCCATGTACTTCTAACAGGAAGAGACTAAAGCTCCTGGACTCACCTGGTCAGCTCCAAGCTCTCTGCCGACTTGAAGCCCCTTCCCTGTGTGTGTTTGTCATGTCTGGCATTGACCGCACAGCTCATCGCTGGCCTTGCCAGCAGCATGACATCAGGAATTGTGAGGTTGGGGCTGCTGAATGTAATGCCCACTGTCACCATTTGCACACTGTTGTGCACATCAATCACTTCTCCTCTCTTGCTGACCTGTTGTGGGAAGAAAGAGGAAAGGAGCATTTTCTTATCTTCTCCCCTATCTGCTCCACTCCCGAATAAAGTGTCCAGCACAGTTCTTGGTGTGTGCAAACATTCAGAGGGCTGTTAGTTTTCCCACACATGTAATTCAAGCCCTGTACCACAGCTTAGCCCTGACTCAACATCTCCCTCTCCAGTGTGACCTCCTATAGAAGCCAGAATCTTCCTCAACACATCTATATGCCATGGTAACATAAACAGATGTCCATGTTCTTAGAAGATGCATGAAGGATTCAAGGGGTGAATAA